AAAAAAAAAAAAACAAATCAACAGACTAATCCTGAGGATGCCTATATGTTGGACTTACTAGACAAAAACATGAAACCTTTTTTTTGGTCTTTTTGAGACGGGTCTCGCTATGCAGTTCAGGCTGGCCTTGTGCTCACTTTGTAGGCCAGGCTGGTCTTGAACTCGCAACGATCTTCCTGCCTCAGCCTCCCAAGTGCTGGGATTACAGGTGTGCACCACCACGCCTGGCTCATGAAACCATTTTAAACGTGTTCGAAGACCCAAAGCAAACCATGTCTAAAGAACAAGAGGAGCTGGCATGGTGGCTGGGGAACCCAGAGGCTCAAATCCCCAGCCCGCTAGTGCAGTAAAAGTTGCCTTCTAACTCCTTGGTGCAAAGAGTCTTCCATTTACTTTGGTGTTGGTTTTTCTGCAACAGTCACAAGCTGGACGCTAGCTTGAACTACAGAGCGAGACCCTGTCTCAAAAAAAAAAAAAAAAAAAAAAAAAAAAAGCAAAAGCATGCAAGGAAAATTTGAGAACATCTCAACAAATAAAAAATATAAGCAGAGTCAGGTGTGGTGGTGCAGGCCTGTAATTTCAGCACTTGGGAGGCTGAGGCAGGAGGACTGCTGCAAGTTCAAGGCCAGCCTGGGCTACATAACAAGTTCAAATGCAGCCTGAACTACAAAGCAAGACCTTGAAAATGCTTCACTACTCTCTTGCCCGCCCAAACCTGACAAAATCATGCAAATCCAGAGGTTCAAATCTTTGTGGTCACTTTGGGAATGTCCAGGAAACTGCCCAGCCCACCCAGGGTGTGCATGTCTAAAAAGCCACCAAATATCAGAAAGATGTCACCTTAAAAAGTTATGTGTGTTGGGGCTGGGGATTTAGCTCAGTGGCACAGCACCTGTCTGGCAAGGTCAAGGTCGTGAGTTCGATTCCTGGTACTGGAAAAAAATCAAAACCAAAAAAAAAAGTTATGTGTGCCATTTGGATGTTTCAGCAGTGGGCTTGGGAGTGGTGCCAGGCCAAACAGTGGGTTGGACTTGGGGTTGGTGGCCCAAAAAGAGTGGATTTTTGCTGGGAATGGTGGTGCACATCTATAATCTCAGCACTTGGGAGGCTGAGGCAGGGAGCTCACTGTGAGTTTGAGGCCAGCCTGAATCACAGAGTAAAACTCTGTCTCAAAAAAAAGTGGATTTTTGTGCATGTGCTTGGAAATGCAGAGAGTAATGCTGGGTTTAAGGCATTGAATCTCTGGTCATTGAACACATCCAGAGGAATCAAAGCTCCCAATATGCACCACTGCGCTCAGAGCTCATGGTCAGATTAACTCATATGGAGGCTCCCTGCCATGTGGAGATGATCCTTACTGAAAAATACTCTAGAAGAAACAAAAATTTATGGCACAAGGACAGGTGGGTAGTGGTGCCTGATAAGTCACAGGCAACCCCCACCACCACCGTGGGGGATTTAAGCTCTTTTATTAAGGAGTTAATAAAAACTCCTTCCTCTTCACCTGTTCCCCTCCAGTTCCCCTCGACAAAAGCCAACCTCACCCTCATCCGCCTTGGCAGAACCAGACATTCAACTCTTATGAACAACCCACCCTGCTCGGGCTGTTCTGGCCCATGGACACCCCCTCCTGAAAAATGTTCTGGCCCATGGACACCCTCCCCAAAAGTTAGCTTAAAAACCCCATGCTTTGCTCAGCTCAGGGCTGTCCTAGTCTGCGGGGCAGCCCACCGTGTCGCTCCCCCCAATAAAGACTCCTCTTGTGTCAGAAGGTCTGATCTGCTTCTGTGTGGGTCTCGGCCGGATCATACCAGTGCCCACCTGTAATCTCAACACTGTGGGAGGCTGAAGCAGGAGGATCCCAAGTTCAAGCTCTTCCTGGGTACCCTAGCATCTTAGGGAAACTCAGTCTCAAATGAAAAAACAAAAAGAGTCAGGGGTGTAGCTCCGTGTGAAGGCTCTAGGTTCAATCACCAGGACTGCCAAAAACAAAAACAATCCCCCCCCAGAAAAACCAGCCAACCAACCAACCAAACAAACAAACAAAAAAAAACCCTTATAAAATGGGAACTAATTCAGCATAGAACAGGTGCAAATGAAATATAGTAACAACTCCCAAGAGAGTCAACAGCACACATGAACAGGTGGAAGAAAGCATCAGCAAACCTGAAGATGGATGAATTGAGACTACCTGGTCTGGGAGGAAGAAAGAAAGGAGGAAAAAGGAGCCAAGCTCGGAGATATCTGAGGTATCATCAAACGTACCAAGGACCACAGAGCGGAAATCTCAGAAGAGAAGCAGCTATGCAGAAAGAAGGAATATTTGAAGATGTAACGGCTGAAACCTTTGCATGTTTGATGAAAAATGTAAGCCTGCCTGTCTAGTAAACTCAGTTTAGCAGGGCATGGTGGCACACACCAGTAAACCCAGCACTCGGGAGGCTGAGGCAGGAGGATCATTGAGACCAGCCTGGCTACAAAGTGAGCTCAAGGCCAGCCTGAGCTGCATAGCGAGACCCTGTCTCAAAAAGACAAAAAAACAAAAACAAAAAAACAAACAATAAAAAACCCTTGGTTTATCCCAAGTAGGAATAAATCATACAAAATGTCAAGGGAGGCAATAGGGTATTTTTTGTCAGGCGTGGTAGCGCAGGCCTGTAATCCCAGCAGCAGGAGGACTGCCATGAACTGAAGGCCAGCCTGAGCTACATAGTGAGTTCAAGTCCAGTCCAGACTACATAGCAAGACCCTGTCTCAAAAAACAAAAAACCAGCAAAAAAGTAGGTTAAGTTTTTGTTGAAGGCAGGTAAAGGAAAGTAGAAAGTGCCTGTGAAAGGGTAGGAGGTTCCTTTTGGGGTTGACAAAAATGTTTTCAGATTAGATGTGGTGATGCTCACACAAGCCTGGGAATATATTACAAAATGCTGAACTGCACTCTATGCAGGGGAATTGCATGTGTGTGAAAATCCCTCAATCACGCTGTCCTTACTCAGCACGGAGACAACACATGGGCTGGATTTGAATCTCTGCCACTCCTTACCAGCACAGGAGCCTGGGCCAAGTGGCCTGAGTTATCTGACTCGTG